AATGAACAAGATATCAAGATAAAAGTGGCTCATTAGACAAAACTAAGTATCATCTTTCAATTCAATATAAGTCAAAAATAAAGACCATTTATTAATTAAAGAGCTTGACTGCTTTCTTGTATATGACGAGGGAAAACAAATCTGTGTAGCTAGAAAATAGCCTTGAGATTGCGTGTTGTAGTAATTTTGGTCTTGAGATCTCTCTGTGTTGACATGTCCTCAGTTATCACGGGTCTCCCAAAAAGGGTCGACATGTTGGTTGGGTAGCAACCGAAGTATCCTCAAAATTGAAAGGGAAAGCAATTGTTTGTTTCCTTGAAGTTCAAGGTTGCAAGATCAAACTAAATCTTGCTCCGTTTAACAAGTATATTGTATAATTAGTGTTTATTTGTGCTTTTTAGGATAATTTTTCACACGCTTGGATATCTCTATATCGCATCAGATAAGATTGATAGTTTCGTTCTTATTGGCTGGAAACAGTTTACGGTCATCACCTGGGACATATAAGAGAGTCATGTATCTAACACTGAGAAGTCAGACAGCGCACAAAAGTGTTTTCTAGCTAAGCATTCACAGAGATTTCTACTGAAGGTAAGAAATGTTTCATAATGTCATGGTAGGAATCTTGTCAGTAGATATCTTGAAGTACGTGTAGGTTCACATTTGTACCCATCGTGCAGATGCCTTACCAAAATTTGGCCTTCTTGCAATTAGTTGTTTGCAAAAGTTACTCGAGTACTCGCAAGCTCAAATTCTTTTGATGACAACCACAAAAGCTTTTCTTCATCTAAATGGGGAACTTATTAAGGAGATCAATTTCAATTCACAATGCGAATTAAGTGTTTTTTTTTAACAAGTTAGAACCATTTTCAAATGGTTAAATCCATGATATTTTTGTTTTGGACGTACGTAACAATGTTTCTCCTGTAATGTAGTTTGATTGCAGTTTATTCTTGTGGTAAAGTCGTACGTCTGCAGTAAGATGAAGGGTGTTCAGTTTTCGATGATCGTTATAATGGTCTTTATTTTAGCAAAGGTAAGTGCTCTGGAAGTTGTTTGTGCGAAATTAAGCATTTTAAACTTGTAATTTTTAGTCCTATTTGTCACTTAGAACAGTATAACGCACTTTGAATTGTTGGACTCATATTTGAAAAAAAGGATCGATTGATTTCCCCAAGGTTCAGATTCATAAGCATGATGGCTCAGTTTTCCCCTAATTTTCTTTCGTTAATTTTCCAATTGATGAGGGAGTGATTCTTCCTATTTTCATATTTTTGCTTATGAAACTGGTCATAATTACAATTAAATGAATTTGTTATTTTGTTCACGCAGGTTCATTCATCAGGTAAGTGGATAAGTTGAACAGTTCCATTATATTATTGTGGTACTTGTTGTGATAGCTTTCGGGAGCTCCTATGATTGTGCAAAGGCATAGATCACTACAAAGCCAACACATGKCACCATTATACATATCTAGTACTGAACTACTGGCACTAGAGAAAAAAAATGCCAGGAGATAGTGTTTTTTTAGGCCGTTTTGGCTGTCTTTCGAAAGGTTTGCAGACACGACCCAGCCGCAAACCCAATTCGTACAGTTGGTGCCCCACAAAAAAACACTGTTTTATGGTGGGAACTAGCGATAAACTAGTGTGAGCTGCGTCGGTGTTTCTAAAGAAACAGTTATGTCGAAGGATTAACATCCGAAACGTCAGTAAGTTTTTCCACATACTTTTTTACGGTGTTAAATTTATCTTTTTACAAACACTGTTTTAGTTTCGTCCGGTTTCAATAATCAAGTAAATTTACATCTGATAGCACACCTTCAGTTAGTTAACTTTCTTGTAGTAAAGGCAGATAAGTAACTGCCAAAAAGTGAGACTTCCAGTGTATTATGGTCGTTTATCTTCTTGCTCTAAGAAGATCCTGTAACTTCACATTTTTTTACAGACATTACATGCTCAAGGAAATTCCAGCGTGTATCGCACGGATGTCTCAAAGCCAACGATGTTAAATCTGGACAAGCTCTTCTMCCTAAGATGCTTTTCACTGATCGTGATGAAACATCACCTGTGTACAGTAATAAGAAAGTAAAGTGGAATGACTGGAACAATCATTTGGAAGACATTGTATGCAGATGTGCTGAGAGCGCAATGAAGGCTGGATATCAGTATTTTGGTATACAGTTCTATGGTGAGCAGTTATTACTATTATCTGATAATGTACAGATACTTTAAATCAGAGGACATCTTGTTCTCTAATACGAAGGGTAACAAACAGCTGCTCACTATTACCCTTATTAATGAACACGTCTAGTTCCGATCAAACCATCAAGACCTCTAATCAACGTGGACAAAGCGTTTATCGTAAATAAACCAAAGATGGATTTCAAGGAACTGCTTCGGTTCTGTTGAAGTATAAGAAATAGTGTTCAGATGGCTTTATTATGTGATCCAAATATCAAAGTGTGATAAAATTCCGTTTGTCAATAATGCTCAGAAGTACAGTGGAAACCATCATTCTTCTTTTATTTAGGGGAGTGTTGGAGTGGTCCATTTAATCAGGGTAACGCCGGTCTAGCTACTGTTAAAAGCGATAAGTGCCGGGGTAAAGATTATAAGAAGTGCTCTGATCTTGCTCAATACTGCGTTGGAGAAGCAGATACCATCTTGATATACAAACAACAGATAGGTATTGTTGAAAATATGAATGTAAGGACCGCATTGCACTATGAGATACATCATATAGTGGAACGTTATTAATAGTACTAGGAAGGAAGTTATTCCGGCTAGGTCGGAGATTAATTTTTCCGAATTTATTTCCAAGGGTCTTTCTCTCGGAATAACCAACCTCCTAGCACTGTAACTCTCATTTATCGCAGCTATAGGGTCAAACTAACAACAGTGAGTGAAGTTTGGTTGATCTTAAAGTTGTTTCCCAACTTATATACTATTTTTTTAGATGTCGACGAATGTGCTGATGGCCCTTGTAAAAACGGCGCTAAATGCATCGATGGAGTCAATTCCTATAAATGCGAGTGTGCTCCTGGTTTTAATGGAAAGAACTGCGAAACCAGTGAGTCAAGTTTAGATCTATTTCATTTATCGCAGCTATATGGTCGAACTAACAACATTTCTCACAGATGTAGACGATTGTGTGAAGAAGCCTTGTCAAAATGGTGGTGAATGTATCGATGGAGTCAATTCCTATAAATGCGAGTGTGCTCCTGGTTACACTGGACCAAACTGTGAAACCAGTAAGTCGTCTAAACGTGCGATGAGTTTACTTCACGAATATTCTAAAAATCCTTCATGTAAATTGAATATATCATGTTCTTCTTTAAAAGGAAAGAATGGATGAGTCTTTGTGCATATATTAACTATTTTTAATAGATTTTAGATTTCTTGTAAATGCACTTTTCCAGTTATTAACGCCATTCTAAAATTATTTTTTTCTTTTGTTTATGTTGTAGTTCCTTCTGGTAAGTTTTTACTCTTGTTAATAGTCCCAAATGCATGCTTCCATTTTATCTGCAATGTCTTACGTTTTGCTGGAAATAGCTGCCCACACAAGCAAATTAAAATGTTTAAGGACAAATAAGGTTGGCCTGTGAAACAGCATTGGCTTTATGCTGGAACGGTATACCCCTAGCAAGGAGGTATGAGCCACAATACATCACGTACTGGTACACTTCCCACTAATCAGCAGTTGGGTGTATGCTATACATAGGGAACAGTGTGTGTTTGTTCTTTATATTCGGACCCCTGGGGAGGGAAGGGTAGGGAACAACTTGTATATTCACAAGCTTGCTCAGGTAAACACAATGCATAAGATTAGGCGCTGCCATCAAGTAAGGTTCTTCTAGGTACTGGGTTTTAAATTGCCTCAGTCGTGACTGAGAACGTAGGACCGAAGGTTATCGTTGGTGTCGTCAATAATTGTATTTTAAATTTCATAGAATGCAAAAATTATAAGACATTGAACCGTCGTGACCGAGCCATGAACGTATATACCTCAGGAGTGAATAGGTGTGATCAGTGGGATATCAGCAAAGGCTGGTACCGCTTTGAAGGCGGGGCAGGAACAGCTATCGCAACTAAATGCCCTTCTTTATACTCTTGTGGAACTTTCCACCCTGGATGGATGAAAGGTACTCATCCAAGCCAAGCAGAGGTTGTCACTAGACAAGCATGTTACGTTGTTAGTGGTAACTGCTGCGGGAGGAATAATAATATTCGCGTGCGCAACTGTGGTGGGTTTTATGTGTACGAGCTGGTTAAACCTCCTGCTTGCCGTCTGCGGTATTGTGGAAACGGAAAATAAGGTAATCAATAGAGGCATTTTATTACCTTTAAAGAAAAGTAAGTCTTTATGTATATAGAACTGCTTTGTACGTGTTTCGAGCTTCCTTCCAAACTGATCGAGCTTCTCACGTGTTCAGC